CTCACCATAATAGTCGAGCAGAGCCACGGCGGCGGGGTTCGAACGCGCGTTCCTCGGATGTTGAGTCGGCCAGTCCGACCCCTTCACCGTTCGACTATTGTGGCTTCGAAACATCAAGCGTTACTAAAAGAATATTGCTCTACGCTCACTCCCAAACCGCATCTCCCCCTTTATTTTTCGAGGCGCGATGTCGTCGGGCAATTGTGTTTCAGATGAAACGGGCGCAATTGTTTAGGATTTTGAATGTATGCCCAAATTACGAGTGCTCGCATTGTTTCGAACAATGGCGGCTCAATTATTGCCCGGGAAACGAAGATATGTCAACAGATAGTAACAGAAGACAATCAGTTTATACTTCATTTTGCTTACGCACACAGGCGCGTGTTTCAGGCGGGTGGCTTTCGCGCTCGCACTGGTTTTAACTGGTTTGCCATACTCACGGACACCGTGAACATTGTCAATGTGTGCGTTGCCCGAGCGCACTTTGTATGTAGATTGTCTTCTGCTCCTATAGGTGTAAGTAACAGGTTGAGTAGGTATTTTATATAAAATATAAGTAATAACCCCAAGTTTTTATTCAAATGATATACAGACAGATCATAACATTTTATTTTTGTCGCAAAAATTAGGCCCTATAAAGTAGAAGTAACATATTAAATACTTACATTTTATATTTTTTTATTATGTGAAAACATACAGAGCAGTTAAATTATACTCTCTATTCAACATTCATGCTTCATAAAATTAACTCTGCAATCAAAACATGGAAAAATATAAATACCAGTAGCATAATGATTGTACTGAGATTCCTTACAAAATTATGTTTTCTTTTAACTCATATTATATCTTACTAGTCCAGTCATTACGTACATTCAAAAAAGAAAATGAATTTGCGCTTCTAATTTTTTAATATGTTGTAGGGGATACCTAGAAAAGCTTAACTTGAGATTGTCGACCAAGCTTTCCTAGGAGCTTTCGCCGCCATGTTGAAAAAAGGGGTAAAATTTGTTTTTCGGCAATAACTCGGCTATCCGATGAGATTCGAAAATTTTTGTAGGACACTTTTTGTAGCTTTCTTTGTGCTCTACAATAACGCCCGAACCATTTTTAGCGTATCATGCATCGTTATCGAGATATCGATCGATAAAGTCAAAAATTTTGGACACAAATTATTTCGGAATAATTAAATAATTAACGTCAGATACGTACAACATAACTTCGAAGGAAAGGTTGCAATCATATTCGACGGTTATCCGACTGATATGACACTCGCTGGAACGAAAACTTCGGAAAGAGTACGACGTTCGAGAAAAAACCAATCGCCGGAGTTCACATTCGATGAGACAACTACTCCAAAAGTTAGCCAGGAGAAGTTTCTCACAAGGGATCAAAACAAGAACCAACTAATACAAATGCTTTGCCGTTACTTAAAAAAAAGTAATTAAAAAGTAATTAAAAGTAATTAAATTTTACTTTTTACTTTTTAATTAATTATTTAATTATTTCGGAATTTTTTATATTTATTAAGACCCAAAGAAAAAAAAACAAAAAAACAAAAATTGTGTCCAAAATTTTTGACTTTATCGATCGATATCTCGATAACGATGCATGATACGCTAAAAATGGTTCGGGCGTTATTGTAGAGCACAAAGAAAGCTACAAAAAGAGTCTTACAAAAATTTTCGAATCTCATCGGATAGCCGAGTTATTGCCGAAAAACAAATTTTAAGCGTTTTCCAAGATGGCGGCGAAAGCTCCTAGGAAAGCTTGGTCGACAATCTCAAGTTAAGCTTTTCTAGGTATCCCCTACAACATATTAAAAAATTAGAAGCGCAAATTCATTTTCTTTTATTTGCCTTTTTTTCGGACGAAATGACTGGACTATACCGACGCCTTAACATTTTAATTCCTAACAATCATCTGGCAATATTATTGTGTATTGTAGTAGTATATAACAAGGAAGTCTTAAGCACCGTCTTATTTTAACTTTAACAAACGTCAAAAATACGTCAAACTCCATACAAAAAAACACGTCAGGTTGGCAACTGAGCCTTAGATTGCATTATAAATAAAATACATAATATTATGCTAACAAAAATATTGTATTTTATTTAGTTTCCTGCTCGGCTGCCATGTTGGTATGTCCTCGGTTATTGTCAAAAGGGTCTTCAGCATCCTCTAGGTCTATCTGTAATTAATATACAACACAAAATATAACTAGTTTGTTAAGAAACTTAAAAAAAAAAAAAAAAAAAAAATCTGACCCGACAAACTTTAAAACTAACAAAAAATCACTTTTACACGTTCCAGTATTAACCCTACTACTGCTTCGGGGCAATAAATGGGCCAGTGCTGAGAAAAAGGACGTTTTCTGGTTTCATATGTCAGATACCGGAGAGCGCAACGTAGGACGTCCGCGTCCTCCCACAAGGTGGATCGACGACCTCATAAAGGTAGCAAAGAAGGCGCTGAATGCAGGCCGCTACCAACTGGTCATTATGAAAATCATTGGGGGAGGCCTATGTTCAGCAGTGGACGTCCTATGGCTGATATGATGTTGATGATGAAAATGTCAGAGGCGTGTATTAACAAACGATGCTTGCTTAAGTGAAGCAGCAAATCGTAAGCACAGAGTTGAATAGAGCTCTGTGATTGGACCATGTGTCACCCTGTGCGTCCAAACGCACTGTGAGACCTCATAATAATGTTTGTGAATACGGGCGAGATACTGGATAGATAAGTAACGGATAAAAAACTTTACCAAAAACCGTTGATTTTGAGTTATTACTTACTTCGATTCCCTGTAAGTGTGTGTTTTCAGGGTCTTCCGATCTGTCATGGCTCATAGACATAGAGCGTTTCTGTAACAAAAACGATATTATTAATACCTACGGGACTATTCCCACCTCTCATTCCCACTGCTGTAACTCCTCTGTAGCCTGAATCTACAGCTTGACCGCCAATAACCCAATCAGTGAAGGCCAAGTTAGTCCCGGGAAAAGTTAAACTGTCATTGGACCCGCAACAAAATTGTTGAATTTTGTCGTTACCTATGTATATTTTACAAAAGTACGATAATATTTTGTTGTAAGTGGACATTTTAAAAATACTTTTAATAACTCCCAATAGGTATTTATGGTTCCAATTGTTCCATAATTTCAGGAATTTTGCAATTTTTTGTTTGCTTTACAATGTAAAAATATAAAACGCATTAAGATTAACTAATAATTTTTTAACCTTTTATTTTATCATCTCTATTCAATGCCTCACATCACAAATCTATTACTGATTAAGCTATCGTCCATCGTTTCCTTGCATTTGACTTAAGCCCCTGTCCTTCTGTCCTTGCCCTACAATACCAACCTATTCCTATTTACAAACAGCAAATCAGACTATTCATATTTATTAAAAATAGCTCTTATTACGACTTACATAAGACAATGTTTAGCTTAACGTGGTTTCGTCAGACAACGACACAACTAAACACTGTAGCATCTAATTTAGTCATAATAGACGCTATTTTTCAACAAGAGTGTGGAGTCTGATGTGCCGTTCTATGAGCATCACCAATCCGTCTGCGCCTAGGGTTACCATGGGTCTGGTTTCCCCGGATTTGTCCTAGTTTGTAGAGCGTCCGGACGGGGTTTCATTTGCTGTCCGGGATTTAAAATTTCGAGTCTCTTAAAACGCCGGGCTACGAGACTAATGCCCGTTTTCATCATCAATTCCTAATTTTTAAGTGACCCCTATAAAAACAAAATTCCTGTTATGTGTACCATAGGCACTTGAAAATTTAGGGATTGATGGTGAAAACAGGCATAAGTTTAAAAAACATGTTGACATATAATAATTCTACAATAGCAACGCAGCTACTACGACATCGCGCAATGCTATGACGGCGCCGTGTTCGATTACAGGTGGCGCTAGTTTCCAAACATATTGCAGTATAACTATCAACTGGTTGCTAAGATTCGTAATAAGATTCCTGGGTCTTAAAAGTCAATCCCGGGCGACGAAACAAAATTTAAAAAAAAACATTCTGAAATGTCCCGGGTTGTGGGCTTCAAAATCCAGGGTTTTCACGCGTCTTGTCCTGCCAAATTGTAGGGATGGCCACCCTACCAGCGCCCCTGCTACACATAAGTTCACATACCCACCTGAACGTGCATTCGGCTCGCACTTGCGCGCTGACGCGACTGCAGTTTACGACTGCGCGTCTGGCGTAGGGTTGTCGACAGGGAAAGTTTGCGGAAGATTTATGGCTCTTTAAATGACGTTTATAGAGCAAGAGCCGGGATGAGCTGATTTGCAATTTGTACGCGCTCTCTTGTTTGGTGTGGTTATTTTGGCTTGTCTGCGTTAATCCGACACTACAAATGTAATTTACTTAGTTTTTAATGGGTAAAAATTAAATAATAATAAAACAAACCTGTTACTCCCAAAAACAGGGAAAAATATGAAGACGTGTAATATTGTAGCTGCCAAATATTGCATTGGTGAATTAACCATGTATCGAATCTTTATTATTTGAATAGAATAAATAACAATAAAACTAACAGATTACTAAAGTTTTTCAGATATTGATTGCATTTCGATATAAAATAATTTTAATGGCTAAAATTAATGTGTTCGAGAATTTCGAGAATTGCTTTCCTATTGCCAAAACTTAGCAATTAAATAGGATTTTGAATATAAATATTTGGATACGGTTTGTTTGTAAACAGATGCGTACTATAATGCATGTTAAGGGCTTATTCCTATTACTACTTATAATCATGCTTTAACATTTGTATGCCGACAAAGCTGATCACGGCTTGAACACATCTTTTGTTTGTACATCATACTCCTTACCTGTGTTTCACAAATAAATTATTTGAATTTGAATTCCTAGCCTATAAATTGGCTAAAGTTAAAAAACTCAAAGTAAAACGTGAGGTGGTCTCCAATAAGCGTGTAATTCATTGCAAACAAAGCCGTAAAAAGCCAAAGAAATGTCGGTCGTTTCGTCCAAACTTATAATGCACTTTCCCTTACATTAGGGCTGCCAGCCCTGCCCTAACAGCCGATCGAGTATCGCGCCGCGTCAGTCTGCTACTAGTCACCGCCATTATCAAGGGAATACAAACACCCAATTCCATTTTCAAAAATTCAAATAACGAATCCGTTTTCTTTTTTTTTGTGAAGTTTTAAAAAAAGTCAAAATTCTACCAAAAAGTCTTCTTGCTATGAAGGATGACATCAATTTCTCCATACTACTTATTAAAGAGATCGAACTCAATCCGTGCTTGTACGACTTATCGCACCCTAATTACAATGTCAACTGGCAAGAAAAAGAAGCGATTTGGACACAAATTGGAACGAAGCTGGGAGAGTCAGGTGGGTTTTCTTATTACTTTTTAGGAGTTGATTTCAGTCGTTTTATGATGAAGTGGTTAATTTCTGTGTTCTTTGTTCATTTGAGTAGTAATTGCGTTGAGTGACAAGTCTGTTTTTACTTCGTAGAGTGTGTACTGTGTTTTTAGCTTAGAAAGTGTGTAATTTGAAGACAATTGAACATTGCAGTCTAAAACTTTGTGTATAATAATAATGGAGCAACAAGTAACGATAAGGTTTATATTGCTTTGGCGGATTTATATGGGAATGAATTTAGGGTCAAGACATATCGCAAAGCTATAAAATTAATAAAAATAAACGTGTAATCGAGGAATTACGTTATTAAGCTATCAAACAAAATTGATTAAAAAACATTGCTAAGTTTTTTCAAGTATCCGAAAACAAGGAGTGTGTTTTTCTTTAATAGGTACGATCTTATTTTAAAAATCTATATTTTTTATTTTATTTTAAAGACTGACACTAAAGTTCACAGAGCTAATAATCACTACAAAAGTTTAAAGACCATAAAACATACAAATCAAGCACTTTAAACTGCCTTGTCACCGTCACCAAAGTACACCAAAGTACAACCTAGGCATTCTTTGTTCCAGGAACCGATTGCAAAAACAAATGGAAAGTGATAAGAACCAACTACATTCGCAGCATGATCATGAAAGCCAAAGGTGCCACCAACCACAAAAAAGACTACTACCTGTCCCCTCACTTGAGTTTTCTTAACCCTTTCGTCAAGCAAAAATTCATGCCCAACCCTAATGAAGACTCCATGGACTCTATAATTCTCGACGACAACGAAAACCAGCTTAAAGTGACGAACACGAACATCCCACCGATCGAACACAATAACGGCAAAAGAAACATCTCTGAAGTGCACAAAGAAGATACGCAAAATCTGAAAAAGGCGAAAAAAGAATATCAGTATCCAGTTGACCACTTCATTGTGAAGAGGGCAAAAGATGAATACGAGGATCAGATGGCAATACACAAGGAACCCAGTGAGATGTACCTCTTGAGTCTCGCACCCCATATCAAAACCATGACTCCTCGACAGCAGTTGAAATTCCAAATCGGCGTCGCTGAACTCATAGACAACATCAAATACGGGGATATGACTTAAATGTTTTTCGATTCGAAAAAAGAACTGTCAAAATATATGTCTTCAGACTTTTGAAAAAGAACTGTCAAAATATTCTCTTGGGTTCTTCAAATGAATGTGTGTGTACCGGTGGGGCCAAACTTTAGAACAAATGGGCAAATGCTTTTTTGTATGCAATAACTAAAAAGTATAGTGATATTTATAGTCTAAGGGCCTCTTTCACGATCTCCAAGAAAAGTTCTAACTAGGAACTTCCTGACTAACACCATCAAGTAAAAGCACAGAATAATAATAAGTACTACGTACAGAAATTTTACTTCGCGATGGTATTTAAAAGAATGTATGCTCAATGCCATTAACAATATGGTGTAATTTAGCTTGTCTCAAGAGTCAAGCACCATTTTGTTGACAAACGTCAGTGATCGGCACTGCGCCGAAGCTATAGGGCTGACTTCGGTAAAATGATGTGACATGAGGTGCCAAACTGTAGAAAATGGCGTAGGAAATACATGATTTAGCATGAATTATCATGAATAATATTAACTACTTATTTACCTCTCAGTGCCTTCAGGCAACTTAAAAAAGTACATTCTGTGTTTTTTATTATTATTTAGGCAGTTAAATACTGCAGAGTATTTAGTACACCATTTTCTTTATTTTTTTCCATCGTAGTGGGTCAATGTTCGCTCGTATGTGAGGCCTTGTCGAATAGTAATCTCGTAGGGGGCCATCGTGCGTGTTTTGTATTCGATGTAAACTCGCGGAGATGAACAGGCCTAAGTATTTTAGCGTCAGTCTTGTCAGTGTCAATAATGACTTGAGTAGGTACCTACTTGACACTTTACTCAGAAGACAGTGAACGAGGCCCTGACTCTGTAAATGCTATAGCGCTTAATTCAGCTAAAGCCTGAGGTATGGTAGTGGCACGGAAGGGGTTTTTTGAGACGTCAAACGTCAGCGAGACTTCAGATATGCTACAGTGGGTCTAGTCAAAACGCACTTTAAAATCGCAAACCCATCGCAAACCAGTCGCAAACAAATAAACAAATCGCAAAAGAGGTCGATAACAAAAAAGGCTTAGTCAAACGGCAAAAAATCGAATCGCAAAGCCCTACCTATCGATAATCGAAAGACTGGATTGAAATTTCCCATACAAAGGCTTAGCCAACATGCATTTAAGACTCAATCAAAATCGAATCGAATCGCAACACCCGCCATTTTCATTGCGATTACTAAAACCCCGGTGATAAGCTTCGATTCGATCGAAAACCAATAGGGTGAGTTGCACCACCTAACTTTGAACGTAACTATGACGTTAACCGGTGTTTTTTGTATGGAGTTTACACGTTTGTCAAAGTTAAACTAAGATGGTGCAACCCGTGCAACCCACCCTAAGGTTGTTTTGACAAATCCGTATCGCGATGTCGTTTTGACAGCTAGTTTGACAGCGAAGCATAGACGTAAACAGAGAGCAGAAAGAAGGAAGAAACTAATTTAAAAAAAAAAGCTAGAAAAAGTAAAAACAATAATCGCAAAGTCATAGACATTTTTTAACTTTTATTCGATTTTGAATGAACTTTTATATCGCCGCGTCGTTGGTGGTTCAATGTGCATTTTGGCTGCCATTTTCCGATCGAATCGAATTACTGGTGACGCGGCGACTGACATTAGTGAAAACTTCCTATTGGTTTGCGATGGCATTTTGACTAGACCCACAGGTTTGTATGCTCTGTCACGTCATAATATGTCAATGTCATTATGCCCCTCCCGCGCCCCTCTCATACCTCAGCCACTGACTGATTTAGACCTATAGTTACAAATATATCTTCGGTTCGCACAAAATTAATGTTAATATTTATTGTTGTACACCAAAATAACAAGATTTATGAGCAAGAATGCCTGTCTCTAGTTCTATGCTCGTTTGGTCTATTCCCATCGTATTTTACCTCGGTGTGTGTTGTTCCTAAACTTAACTTATGGTTTCTTTATAAATGTGTGTGTACATAAGAAACTGACATTGTATACTGATAAAATTAATAAAATACTGTATATTATTATGTATTTTCTGCTGGGTATTTTGTTGTATTATTTTCTTTTTTATTTACATAGTGTCACACTGCAATGGCAACAAGAAAGGTACCTCATTAGATAGAGATTTATATTATTTGTCCTGCAGTGTACGGAAAGTTAGGTAGAGCCAAAATATAAAATGATGTTTTAAAAGTCATAGCACACTTATCAACTCGGAAAGGGCTCTACACCGTTTCGCCTTTCGCTAAGTTACGGTGCGGATAAGTAATGCGTTTTAAAGTAGTTTCATACAAAGAATACTGGTACGGTTACGATCCGTTTCCGGGTTGATGAGTATGGTCCGTCCTTCAACCAATTCTATTAATTCTACTTACAACACTCATTCTGCGAACATGCTCCTTTTTCAATGCGTCCAGTTTAGTTTTTTCCTTCCTCTTAAAGAACTCCATCTGTGAATAAATTACAAATGTTATAACAATCAATTCTGCAGATACAAATATAATAATACATGCAGTGTTTATGGTACTCACCTTATACATTATAAATATAACTATACCCAAAATGATCAGGGCTCCAAGGACTGATAAGAATATCATAAGGCCCTTGTTCTGGGCAAAAGACTGTTCCTTGTGAAGAGTGATGGTCGTTATCAACCTACAAAAAAAAATGTATAAACCCATGAGATCGTACAGTTAGACCCCTCGCCCACGGCGACTTTTTGTAGTGAATGTAGTAATGCTGTCGCGCGTTTCGTAAACGAACGACAGCAACGCTACTAACGCGCGTTAGTTGTATTTGGATCGCGCTACAGAAGTGATGCCAACGCGCTACTAATGCGCTACAGTAGCGCGACTGTATCGCATCGAACGACATCGGGGAGAGAACGAAGGGAGGGTTACTGAATCGCGTTTGCATTGCGACGGTATCGCTTTTGCATCACGACTGTATCGTGTTTAAGTGGGCGTGGGCATACAGCTAGCGACTGCATTGCGACTGTATCGATGTGAACGCGCGACAGAATCGCTACTGCATCGCTACAAAAAGCCGCCGTGGGCGAGGGGCCTTAGAGCCCATTCCCATGACAATCCCGTTTTACGGGATCCAATAAGTAATGCAATCCACAAGTGTGAGTTTGAAATTCGAATGGATTGGTTTTTTGCGGGATAATACGAACGCGGGATATTTGTGTGACAGTTAATATTAAAACACGTATATCCTGCAAAAAACGGGATACCTCCGTAGGAAAGAGCTCTGAACTTTTATTTTTGCAAAGAATTTAGAATTCCACACTACGCAACTTGAACAAAAAATATAACAATATTGAATTAGTAAAAATGTATATTGAAATCAATTATCCTGCTTTCGCCTCCGAGATTTATTTTACCATGTAGTACCCCTGTACGACAACCCAATCCGCACACAATATTCAGCGTAGTAGTATTAAAAAACAAAAGAGCGGGCAACCCCACCCCTACCACGCTGTGGGCTCGGTGTCCGAGCGGTCTCATTCCTTTGTGCGCACGCGCAACGACCGCACGCAGTATAAGAAAAATGCTTAAGTGACGTCACCAGGACGTTTTTACCGACAAAAAACGTAATTATTTTAAGTTGTGCAGTGTAGTGACGAGAATTAGACCCAACAAAAGGTTAAATCTCTTCGGCGAAAACAGGATAATTTAGATCGAACTTCACTTGGTAAGTTCGTTTGATCATTCAAATACCTTTCCTCCTTCATTATTGCAGTTGGTCTTAAATACAAAATAATATTTGAGGTTATATTCAGCTTCTCATCCACAAAGTAATCCACTGAAAAAAAAATCATTTCAGTAACTCATCAGGTGAATAAAATGGTACTAATGGTATTATGTATAATCCTAAGAAAGTATAAAAAAATCTTAAGACAATACAGGGTGTTAGGTAAATGGGTATATGAGCCGACACTAGCCCATGTTAACATGGCCATATAAATGGTAATGGTGAAGTCAGAAATTTGATATCATAATTTTATTTTTTTAAATTTTCATACAAAATAAATAATATAAAATCCGATTTGTATGAAAATTAAAATAATTAAAATGAAGACATCTGACTTCACCATACCATTTATATGGCCATNGAGCCGACACTAGCCCATGTTAACATGGCCATATAAATGGTAATGGTGAAGTCAGAAATTTGATATCATAATTTTATTTTTTTAAATTTTCATACAAAATAAATAATATAAAATCCGATTTGTATGAAAATTAAAATAATTAAAATGAAGACATCTGACTTCACCATACCATTTATATGGCCATGTTAACATGGGCTAGTGTCGGCTCATATACCCATTTACCTAACACCCTGTATAATAATGATGGAAAAACTGTCCACTAAAGTGGAGGAGGCTCATAGTCCAGCAGTGGGCTGTAAAGGGCTGTTGATGATGAGGATGATGAATATGATAATATAATAGTAATTTCAACTCGGTCGAGTTAACTGCGCACCGGGCGGCTATGACGTCACATGACGCTATGGTAAAGACGGGGCTAACGCGGGGAGGTGCGCGGGTGAGGCTTCCGGCGACTGGGACCGCAATTAACTAGGACCGCGGTCCCAGTCGCCGGATCCATAAAAAAATAATAATTTTCTTCCGGCGACTGGGACCACTCATAGATAACTTAAAAGAAAATATTATTCAATCTAAAATTGGTACAGTACTAAAATCCATGAGTGGTCCCAGTCGCCGGAAGAAAATTATTTAATTTTTACGCATCCGGCGACTGGGACCGCGGNCCATAAAAAAATAATAATTTTCTTCCGGCGACTGGGACCACTCATAGATAACTTAAAAGAAAATATTATTCAATCTAAAATTGGTACAGTACTAAAATCCATGAGTGGTCCCAGTCGCCGGAAGAAAATTATTTAATTTTTACGCATCCGGCGACTGGGACCGCGGTCCCAGTTAATTGCGGTCCCAGTTGACAGAATCCTCCGCGGGTGAGTGCGAGGGAGTCGTATACCAGCAAAGTGCGCAGTTAACTCGATCGGCTTGTAGTTGATATTTTTAAAATTAACACAAAGACTGGATTGAAAGCTTACCGATTTTATCCTTGAGGATGACAATGGAAGCCACGATCTTGGGGGCAGAACCGGGCGGCAGATCGAAAGTGCAATTGAATGTAGACTGCTC